TTTGCATGTATTTACCACCTGCCCACATCAGCAAGACAACAGCAACCAGCAAAGATATGTGCTTGTCCCAGGAAAGAGCTCATGACCTATGGTCCAAAGCACCTGCCCCTACCACCATTAACACTGGAACTCTCCCTGCATGCTGGACCATCATGGAAAAGCCTTCTCCTAGAGGTGACACAGCTGTGGCTTACCACCAGCATGCACGAGAGTGAAGCACTCCACAACCCCAAAGGGCTTTTGCAAACATTAAGAGCTGGATGTGCTGACAGCTGAGTAGCCCTGAGTAAAGAACAGGGGACACATGTATACCTTGGCTGCTGTCCTGCATTGCTTCACCCCCAAGAGCTGCCACAGTGCCAAAGCGCCTCAAGTGTCTCTTGTGTGTGGTTTTTGGGGATCCAGCATCCACTGCTCTAACCTGTCTGCCTGGTCCACATGTCCAAAAAGGCTGCTCTGATAGCACAATGATTTGTCTCTCCTTGGAGTTGATGGGCACCTCCTCATCCGACATGAACAGAGGGACTGTTGATTACTGAAGGGATATGCCATTTTACTGAGGATTTAGCTCAGTGGATTTCTTTTCTCTAGGAGCACAACAAGTCCAGTCCTGGTATCTCATGCCAGTGTCCATCATCAACTAGGGAGATATGTTGTCACAGAGTATTTCATGTTGGCATGCTACATGAAAGCTTCAGAGCAATGAAAACTCTTCACCTTTTGTAGTAAACACGGGCTGCCAGCACGTACTGTAATGTAATCTAGTAAAACAAACTCATTTGGGGAGCCTTTCAAATGCTGTGCAGGAACAGCAGGCTTTGGGTGGGCTGCTCTATTCTATGAATGTTGCCTGTTAATACCCAGATGTTGAATGCCAACTTTCCATTCACTGCTGCAAAATAACAAACTGTCATGTGGTAAAAATAACCATGGGAGGCATGCCACACATTCCAGTGCTTGTTTCACCTACAACACACTATCAGAAATGTGTCTGTGGAAGTTCACTGAGCATCTGTATCAATGCTATCTATCCTAAACAATATATTTCAGGTCTGTGATTTTGAGAATAAGTTTAAGGGAAGAGAAATGTTTTTTGTTAATTTTTTTACTCCTTTGGTACCATTTACCCCAAATCTAAGGTAGCTGCAGAAAACAGGAGATCACTTTCTCACTGTGTGACAATGGGAAAGAAACTCAGACGTGGCTGCTTTCCTCTAACACTGACCCGAGATCTTTAGGACAACCCAAAAAACTAAACTAGCTTTAAAGCTTGTCTATGTCTAAGGACAGTTTGTGCCGAGACATATCATAAATCCATGTCTGGCTTCACTCTGCCATTGATACAGTGGTACCACCAAACTTGCAGCCGGGTTTCAAACATTAATAATGCAGCAATGCCTTTCTATCCTTCCCACTAATGACAAATTTCAAGCCCACTTAACACTCAATGAATGTTGAATAAGGGGTCCAATCTTCTTGTTCAGTTCACTGGACCAAACAATTTTTTAAAGACATGCAAGAGACAATACCAGGGTTTTTACATGGGGCAGCGTAAGTCTTATTCTGAAGACTCAAGTTAGGCAAGCAGAAATGCCCAAACCAAACTTGTTTCAAGTGTGCTTATTCTTCTATTTCCACTTTGCATTCTTGGATACAAAGGCTGTTTCTAGTGTTCACACATTTCAAAATCTCTAAACATATTAAACTAATCCCAACTATCAAATGATCATTCTGTCTGTGATCCACTGTTACACTGTTCATATGCTTGCATCTTGTCCTAGTCTTGCACTCCCTGTTTTTTTAACTTGCATGTGCATCTGGTACTTCTGTGTCCTCCTGTTAGTAATTATCAGCATAATGATAGTATTTAATTATTTGTATTGCATCCTTTGTTCTGCTTTATTTCTAGCTTTGTGATGCAGATATTTTTTCAGTTGCTTGGCATGAAGTCTACAGAAATGCTGACTAATGTAGGCATCCTTCTTCCAAATGCTTTTGCAGATGAGGGAGCTCATTAAATCATTACACTTACTCATGTTTAATTTTATTCATATGCACATAGCCTTGCAAGCTACAAGCTGAAGTATGTATGTGATTTCTTGTATCATGACAACATGGAAGTCTAATAAAGAGTAGTCTGTACACTCATGCACTTTTGCTGCCCAGCTGAAATGAAATGCCTCCCACACAAAGGAGAACTGGTTATACTAACTTAAGAATAAGCACTACAAGCACGTGTACATCTTGCAAAACATCTGATTTCGGTGGCAAAGTCACTTGAAACTGAATTAGAAAGAGCAATACTCAACTGAAGCATTTGTGTTATGTGCAAGGCCTTCAGGACCATCTACAAACCCACAGCCAGCCCTACTGTTTCTCTAAGGTAGAGATATTTGCCTCTTCTCAACAGCACAGACCTACATGAGCCCACATCCTCATTTATGAATGTTAGTCTGGTCTCAAACACTATCTACTTCCGACTTCTGTCCTGAGTGCCGCAGTTCACTCAGCTTGTCAGACCTACTGTTTATGTCTGGCCTGCAAATAAAGATAGATACTTCTCCTGTGCCATGACTGTTCATGTAGTAAATGCAGAGGTACGAGAAAGGGACCTTCCTGAGAGCTTCAGTGTGAGCAGAAGAAATGCTGCTCTCTGCGATGATGATGGGATGCTCTGCTTCAAGAGGAAGGGGATGACTTCATGTTCCCCCTTGCTAAAGCAGGGGCATGGGTGCTGGCTGCCAGCAGAGGTTGGACATTGGCCTTCACAAGTAAGCTTCACCCTGCTCCTGGAGCAAACGTAAAAGACTTTGCATATTTTGCAGTAGGGACAAACCCAGCATGTGTGCCACAAGACTCTTTCACAGATGTCTTGATACTGCAGCTGCTCTGTGCTTGCACATACAATGCAGTGTGACTCTAATGAATACGCAAGATCCATGGCACAGTGATTGTACAGTCCCCTGGCATCAACTCTATGGCTGGTCTTGCAGTAGTTTTATACCTTTCTGGTGAACCAGCTTAGTCTGTCCTCTGTTGCCCTTGTTGAGTAGGCTTGGGCTGTTTCATAGTGGTCCCATTGGATAGTGCATAGTGCACTTCCACAGGACCGTTAGGCCCCTGCAAACATGAACATATGAACGGTTCCCCTGTAATCCTCCTCTCTGATTCTTTCCTGGGAATGCAGAGGGGAAATGTGGTGCACAGGCACCAAAAAAATCCTTTCAGCATGAGTTCATTCTACTTCACTCATCCAGATAACGTGCTTGACATCTCTCTTCTTACCCTTTCTACAGCCCTTTACCTTCTCAGCCTATCTTGATAGGCTCTGGATGTGTCATGTTGTCATGGATGTAAATTGTAATTAGCCTAATGACCTCAACCTCTCCTGTCTTATCTCTGCAGTTCAGGTGTAATATTTTCTCATTCAAATTAAAATACTTTTTTACTGTCTTTGGAGTTCCCTTGGAAAGTTAACAGGGAAGTTAAGCATGCTAGCAAGGCTGTCAAACAAATGTCCTTTCAACTTAGGAGAAAGCAGCTGATCTGTCAATTTGACAGATAGGTGGTTACACCAGAAGAGAGCTTCATTACTTCCAAATATTAAAAGATTTTATTTCATGGCCTTAGTTAAGGAAAAAAAAACCCAAACCACAGGGGCAAAGGTTTTACGTAGACTTTCATCCTACACTTTGAACTAATTAAGCAAATCAGGTTTCATTGCCTTCAGTGGTGGCACTCACACAGCTGAAATTAAGCACATGCTGATGTGTTTTGCTGGATGGGGTCAGAGCACTTAATACCTTGCAGCATTCAGCACTAGATGAAATATGTATTGCAGCACATGTTTCTGAAGTTCAGCCCATGATTTTTTTCCATCTACTGCATTAATTTATGGAGTAAAACATCAGGTAGCATATGAAATCTAAAAAAACCGCAACTTTCTTGCCTTGTGTTACCACAGATGTAAAAAAATAATACACATTCTCAGATCAGTTCTAATTAACAAGAATCGCAAGACAGAGACCAGTAGTATGAGGCAACTCTTACATTCATGCTGATCTATTACTTCCACCTAGAAGCCATTTAGTGTCACCCAGGCTTAGGGTTGGTCTGCTTGTGTATATCCCCAAAGAACCATTCTCAGTGATTTCTCCAAGAAATTTCACAAGAAACCTGGCATAAGGCAAATTGAGTTTACCAGATGATAGGCTAATACCTCAACACTTGGACTGTTGGTCCTGTTTACTTTTTTCTGTCACTTACATCCCTCAGCTGACATATTTGTAAAAGCTGTTGTGCCAAATCTGACCAACTTTTGCTAATTTTCTGCCAGCTGAAAAAACTCTAAATTCACATAGCGTAAATTGCAGATGAAGCAGCTCTGGAATCTGTCCTGTGAGGGATAAAAGCATTTTCCTTATGAGCTTTAGAGCCCCTTGTTTGTATCAAAACAAAGGAAAACATAAAAAAGAGGACAAACAACAATTCAGACTGCAATGGGAAACTGATAAAAGGAAATAATTCTAACACCCAAACTTGCTTCTGAACGCAGTAGATGTTTGAGCTGCTGGTGGCATCTGCTGCTCCATTTCAAAAAGTCATTTGCACCAGTGAAAAGTGAGTGCAAAAGAGTGCTGCCCCTCCTTGAACACCTTTTGGCTGCAGGAGGTGTAAAGCAATGGAGAATCTCTTGAGTGTTGATCAAGTGATAAACATGCTTCAGAAGGGGCAACTGATCCCTCTTTTTAGCTCCTTCATGAGAGAAATCCATCAAAGTCCATTAAACACAAAGATACCATGATAGCTCTACCTTGGAAACCATGGACATATGGGAGACAAATTCTGGGCAGGTTTGGCTGTATGTGTGCCTGCCTCTTACACTCTTCCCTGTGCAGCTGCTATCTGCTGCTGCCGGAGATGAGGACCTGGGTGAGGAATGTCTCTAGCCTTAATGGGAGTGACTGTTCTTAGGCAAAGCAAAGGGAAACTATCCCTACCTGTGTATGTTTTCTTCCAGCTTTTTCACCTTCAGTTCATCCTCTTCTGACTGTCTCCTTCTGGCTTCTTCCTCTTCTGCAGAGCCAGCAGGAATTCCCTGTAGCAGCCATTTTTCCCGAAGAGCTTTTGACTGTAAGGTGAAAAAATCCAAACCTTAGGAACAGACTGAACAAAAACCATCTGAAGATTGAGAAGGAGCTGCCTCTGCTTTTGAATATTAGATTGTCCCCACTGAATTTCTGATTACTGCTTTACAGTCATTTTCAGGCAATCCATCGGCTGTTTATCCAGATGTCAGGTCTTCCAGATTTAGAGTGTCAGTTTTACAGTATACACTTTATTCACCATCAGTGCCTTTATATGAAGTTATTTGTAGATCCTAATAAAGTCAAGAGTTTAGACCACACAAATTAGCTGGTTCTGCAAAAACTGAAATCTTTGAACAAAACGGCGGATCTCTCGTGAATAACAAGGCATGTGCTGGAAGGACTAAAATCATAAACTTCTTAAAGCTTCAAAAAAAAAAGAGCAGTGTGCCCTACATGTAATGAGTTTCATGAAGGATAAAATCAGTCTACTATTATATTAATAAAAAATGTTATTTTTCATTTATACCACAGATTTGTCTCCACACATTTACAGGCATACAGACAGACACACACACACATATACATTCACACAAGTAGACATATCACATTTTAGCTAGACACAAATTAAAACAAATGAACAAAGACCTTCCAGAAACCATGGGTGTCCCAGGGCACAGCAACACTGTCACAGAAAGCAACAATAGCATACACCCAATAGAATTATTCCTGGAAATTTTGCTGTGCTTTCTACACCAAAAACATGGCTACAACCTCACCTGGCCACTGTCTAATCCAGCTGCAGCTCACCCAGGGGAGTTCACCAGTGGTGATGCACTGGTTGCAAGCAATCCTTTAAACAGTACATCAGACTGTGTGTCTTGTTTGGCCCAAATCCTGCCAGAGGGATGTGGCAGATCATTTGACAGACAGGACCAGCACCTGTCGAAAGGAATATCAGGAGCCCAAAGCCCTGCAGGACTTTGCTCCTTGGCAAGAACAAAATGAAGCTGGTGGAAAAAATGGTCAGCCAAGGGACTGACCAAACTAGCTTCTTGCACTGACCAGAAAAGGGGAGCCTTGGTTTTGAATTTGCAAAGCAACTGGCAGTGCTAGTTCAAGGCACCAGCTGTGAGAGCGTGTATCCTCTCCAGCAAAGATGAGCTAATAAGGAAATCATCAGTTCAAAGAAATAGGATTGCAGAGGCTGCCCAAACATGCAGTGTCAGTCTTTTCAATGCCATGTTCATTGCTGGAATGGAACCTGACTTGTGCAAACTATGTATAAAGAAAAAACATTCACTGCTAAAAGCAGGCTTCAAACCCAGCCCAAATTAGAAAGATTTTAGACATGACAGACAAGGCTTACTTGTTAGTTTTTGAGTGTATATATAGACATAGTATCTATGCACAAACTATTCTTGTCACTCCATGGCCTATCTGACATCAGGCAATTAGATTTTAGTAAGGCAGCAGACAGAAAACATTACAAACCACACAAGTGAATTAGACTTTATAAATTATTCCAGCTTTCACTGACGTTAACTGTGCTGTGCATCAGAGGGCTTCTAGGTGTGTTTTAAGTGATTTCTATACAAATTAGGAGTTCTGCATGACAGAAGAGGTCTTGTGCTCTTTACCATGCAGTCATGTTCAATGGTTGGACATGTTGATGCTGGAGACATGCTCCACCCTGCTGAAATCAGCTTTGCTTATGGCCTCCAAGGTGTTAGTTCACAAAACATTAGGGATGCCTATCTCCAGACACAGTTTCTGCAAGTTTGCTGGTCCTTTTGCTGCCACTACCCTCTACAAGTGCCTCCTGCTGCATTTTGTGGGCTGGTAGTGAGATTTCTCTGTGGGACCTTTGCTTTCTAGTTCAACCCAGCTGATTACTGCCCAGAAGTTTCACCAGTTCGTTCAGGCCCAATGTGCTATTGAAATGTCCCCTCAGCAGCAGACTCACAAGTCACAACACGTACCAAGAAACAAAGTGAGAGAGTCAAAAATTGATTTACAGGTCCTGAGGTGCTAAGCATTTAACAACCTGTGCTTTGGCATTTAAGAGGTCTCAGAAGCACAACTCAGTGGACACCTGCTGGGCTAGATCCAGTGCAAAGTGCTGTGAAGACTGATTGCTCTTTAGAAAATTGCTGTCTTTTCTTTAAAAAGAAATGTGGCCAGTTGCATGTGGGACTATGTTGCTACATGTGTCATAGTCATCTGCAGTCTTGAATCTGAAAACTTGAGTGATACTCACGTTGGAAAAAAACCTCCAAGTTTCTAAAGACCAAACTCTAAAGATGAAGGCAGCCTTCTCTGTTTTAAACCTCTTTTAGGTATGGCTCCAGCAGACCTAATAAAGCCTTTGGAGAAGTGCTACTTGGACAGCACTGAAGACATTCAGTTAACAGCCACTCCTCATTTGCTACAGGAGGACAGATAAAATCCAGGCTTTTTTCAATGTGCTTTTACAGAATCTCCATGCTGATGCTCAGACAGGGAGAAGCCAGTCACTTCAGTACAACTGCTGTACACCAGAAATGAGATACTTTGTGCAGCTTTTGTTTTGGTCTTTGTTTATGTGAAACATTTAAGTTACAAAATCACATGATTTCTTTCTCCTAGGAGCCTCTTTTTTTGACCTATTAATAGCATGAATTTGAAACTGGAAAGCATCAATGAGATTTTTTAAAAGACATATTTAAAGACAAGAATGCTATGATCTACTAAAAATCCTCCCTCTTGGGTGAAATGTCAGCATATTTTATCTAAAACAGGAAAGCTGGTACTTTGATGTTTCTGGCTCTCTTTTTTAAGATGAAAATTAAGGCATTCGTTAAATACTACACTGAGGAATCCAGACAGGAAGACTCTGAGAAATAGAAACATTTATAAGAAGCATTTCTGAAAATTCAGAGGGTCTATTTGCCAGGCTGTTGAGGTTATGTATATTTATACACCAACTGCAAATACAATAGGCAAACAGGCAGGCACGTGTCAGGGGACCATCTTGCTGTCCAGGAAGATGACTGGCCAGATGACTGCTGAGAGAGTCAGCAGGGGTGGAAGAATCTCTCAACTGCTTTGAGCAAACCTTTCCCAGGGCATTTTCATCAGAAACCCAGGGGGAATGCTTGGAACACATGATGAGACCACGGGTGAGTAGTGCACAACAGGGAGGTGGTGGTAGAGCTGCACTGGGCACAGCTCCTGGGTATGAGACAGTACAGTGAGGCAGCCAGCATCGAGGCAGTCCAGCCATATGCAAACCAGAGCCAGATGTGGCTTGGAAATAAAAGGCGGTTCGCTGCCATCTGTCCTCCACAGCTATGAAATTCGGGTTATGCTTCTCAAAAAAATCTTGCAAAATCTTATCCCTAGAAGAATAGGAGGTGTTTCTGAAATCTGCTAAAAGGAGAATGCTTGCATGAGAATGGAGCCCAAAAATAGCTAGCTGTGCGAGTTACCCCTGCTTAACAATGATTTTGTGCATTTGCTTTACTTAACAGTCTGTGATTAAAATGGCCACAAGCTACTATTTCAGCATTGCTCCGCCTTCATTGTCTGTTACGAGCTCTAACCCTCTACTGTATCTTGGAGCTTCTTTATGCACCAAAGTTGTGCTGTATGATTAGACATTGTCAAAATGACAGAGGGCTCCAAGAGTGGCCAGATATACTATCATAAAAATACAGGTATTTGTACAGCTCATTCCAATACTGGAATGTGAATAGGCTGTACTTTCAGAAGGCACCACTTCACTGGTACAACAGCAGCTATGCTATGTACAGTTGGTATTAGTATTCCTTCATTTATTGCAACAGTACAATTTCTTCAGGGCTAAATCCTTCAGCAGAAATTAGATCATGTCATTAAAAAGGCTCTCTGTTACTGAAGTGGAAAGGGCACTGGGCTTGTGATGCTCTAGGTCACCGCTGCTCTCAGGTGACTCGGTTTCTCTGCACACAAGTGAGATTGCAGAGATGCCAGCTCCTTGTTTATTTTGTTCAAGCATAGGAAAGTAGAGTGACTTCTGCACCATGCAAAAAAGGAAAAAAAACCAGGTCATGATTCTGTGAACAGATCATGGTGAGGACAGAAGTAAGTGAACAGATGTTGGACAAGACAGAAAGAAATCATGCCAAATGTCTGAATGCAGTAGACACAGTGATGGCGATAAATGTGGTGCACGGCTTCCTTACGTGCTATTTATTTCAGATTCATGCTTCAGGACAGTAAAGTCTGAGGGCTTTAAGTTGTTTACATTTAGTGCTAGCAAGGAAATAATGCATAGCCCCTCAAATGCACATAGTAGAATAAATGCTGTATCGAAAAGAAAACTTTACTTTCAATGCTGCATTGTGCTTTAATGTTGCATCAAAAATTTAAGTATTGGGGGACATTTTATTACAGCAACAAAATCTTTTTAGCACCATTTCCATATACCATTATGCTCATTACATGCCACCTCCGAACTCCCTACTTGTGAAAGGTGATTAATTCTACCCATCAGTCTTGCTGATTTCGTACCTACTTCCATAAACATTGCTCATAAGGAATAACACATTTCCAGTCCCACATGAAGTGTGGCAGTGTCTTAACCTGAGGCCCAGATGCATTTGCCAGACTTGCCGTTTGACTCTTTATGACAATAAAAAAGCCAGTTCTTGCTGTGCTGCTACCTTTTGAGATAGTTTCCTCGAGCAGTTTGGGGTTTTTTTTTGTATTTACAAGTGGTTAGAGGGGCAATCAGTACTATCTCTCCTTGAGAGCAGTGCTTTCTGAAGTGGAGCACTTCTCTGCCTGCTGAGTAATTTTCAAGGAAGCTGATAATCCTGAGGTGAAACAAAGGACAAAAGTTGACCCAAGACAGCCTCCTTCAGTAAAATGTGCCTGCTCTTGAGAAACACTACTGAATGTGGACTACTCAGGGTAATGGTGCTCTTCTGTGCCATGCAAAATGGGCAGTAATGATCACTGGTGTCATTCCACTGAAATCAGTAGTGCTACATCAAAGGCACTTTTACTGAAATCTTTGCCA